TTTGGCGGGCCACAAACATTGAGTTTACAGCAAACTCTATCCCCTCCAAATTGAAATCCTAACCCCCAGTATCTTAAAACGTGAGCTTATATGGAAATAGGGTGATTGTACAGGCAATTAGTTAATGACATTATCCTGGAGTAGAGTGGGTTCAGATGTGCCACAGGGAGAACACTACGTGAGCAAACATAGAGGCTGATAGTCTACCAGCCAAGGAATGCCGAATATTGTCAGTAAACCACCAAAAGCAAGAAGACACAAACATGGAACAGATTCTCCCACACCACTCTTAGAAGGCACCAACCCTACTGACACCTTTTTGGACTTCTAGCCTCCAGAATTGTAAAATAATAAATTTCTGTTGTTTAATTCTCCCACTTTGTTGTACATTGTTATGGCAACCCTAGTAAATTAATGTAGAGCCCAAAATTGGTGCATCTAATGAGTATGCTACATGATCTTGTAGCTCCAGAGTATGGAGTATGCTACATGATCTTGTTTCTCCAGAGCCATGACAGGGTTTTAAAAAGGAAAAGAAACTTGGCCATGTTTGCACTCTGTTCTAAAATCAGCCTGTTGTTGCTCTTTTTACCTGAAGTCCTCCATTAGTCATAAAGATCATTGGCTTGGGTCCTGTATGTTTCTTAGGGGGGAAAAATGTATAATGCTCCAAATTCTTTGCAGTACAGCTCCGTTTAATGTCAGTATCTGTCCCCTCTATTTTTTGAACAGGGACCTCAATGCAAAATCCTTCATTTTTATAGATCTATGATTAAACTGTTAAAAAAAGCGCAGTGTTTTATTTTTTTAATCTTTTTAAAAGATTTTATTTATTTATTTATTTTAGAGTCAGGGGAGAAGAGCAGAGGGAGAGAATCTCAATCAGGCTGCGCTGAGCATGGAGCCCGATACTGGGCCTCAGTCTCAGGACCCTGAGATCATGACCTGAGCTGAAATAGAGTGTCGACCGCTTAACCAACTGAGCCACCCAGGAGCCCCAAAAAAGCAGTGTTTTATTGCTTCCTATTTATAAACTCATTCTACTTTGACTTATATAGGCAAAAACAAAACATTGGAGACAATTTTTTTTCTCCTTTTCCTTACTTTATTTGATGGTAAATGTAAAATCATGAAGTTTTAGGAGGGAGCATTCTTTTGTTTCCTTATTATAGCTATTCATCTTTCTTTGCGGAAAGAGAGCCGACTCTGTTGGAAGATGTTTCTCTGGAATCTTTCTCTGGTGACTTGTAATCTAAAGCTGTTGAATTCAAGGAAAGTTTTAACCACAGTATTTAATCTTCTGGAGACATTTATTACATAGCTTTTTGTTTTGCCTTGTTTAATATAAACCACCAGAGAGACGTTTCCTGGTTGTGTCATTTCATAAACCAGAGTGTGAAGTAGAAAATCCCAGATAAGAAGAGGCCCCTCCTCCTTAAGAATTCTACCGTAGAATCAGCATTCTCAAAGGGAACAAAAACCTTAAAGCAGTGCCTATGAAAACATTACTAATAATAATAGTAATAATTATAATAACAACAACAATGGCTAACTTCCACAGAGGAGGTAAAGAGTAGTGGCTATAAAGGTACTTCTAGAATCAGACACACCTGGATTTTTTTTGCAGCTCTGAGTCTTCCTAGCTACATTCCCTCTGAGCAAGTTATCTTCTCTAAACCTCAGATTCCTCATCTCTAAAATGGGGATATTAAGTCCTTATTTCATAAGATTGTTGTGAAGATTAAATAAGATACCAAATGGAAAGCTTTTAGCACAATGTCTGGCACATAATAAATATTCACTATATGTTAGCTGCTACTGTTATGAACAAGAATGCAATTTATGAAAGCTTATTACATGCAGGGGCTCTAAGAATATTATCTCCAATCCCGATAGCAATCTTCAGGGTAATTATTGTTTGTCTCCACCTCAAAGATAAAAGTGAAATTGCTTATTCAAAGTCATTTGGCTAGGAAACGGCAAAGCAGAGGTTCCCTCCAGTCTGAAAAAATATATCACATTTCAAATGAATACCTTCAAACTGACAGAAGAGCTGCAACGGAAAGCCTCCCTTTTGTATCATTGTGTTTCAAGTTGGCATTTATAAAATCTTTAAGTCAAGATAAGGTCAAAGGAGAGTCTTTAGTAGAATATCTGATTTGATCAAAATTGATTTACTTCTTCAAGCTTTATCACAGAATTAACAATGAAACTTAAAATGCCATTGAATCAATTAACTGCACCCCACATATGAACCTTAGCAACCTGAAGTTTGAAAGTCTCTGCATTCACCAGGGCTCTTTGGGTAAAGATTAACAAAGCTCACCTCAAAATACCTTAAGAAAGAGGGAAATTTGTCACTTCTGTGTTTGGGAGTTCTAGAATCTTTCTAGCTTCAGGCATAGCTGGATCCACGCTCTTTGCTCTCATCCCCTTCCCACACTGGCTCCATTTTCAGCTCTGATCTGGCTTCTGCCTCATCGGCTGAAAAGATATTTATGTATTGACATAAATATCTGCCAACAGCCTCAATACCTTATCCTCACACTTTAGTGACCCCAACAGATATAAGGCCTCTTTGTCATCCAACACCTGTACATTGGTCTTCAATAAGAACTCTGTTTGGCCTATGTAAGCCACAGAGTGAGATCAGTTCTTTAAAGAAGTGGGTCCTTCAATAGCATTGCATTTGTTTCCTATGGCTGCTATCATCAATTATCACAAACTTGGCAGGTCATGACAATACAACTTTATTCTCTTAGAGTTTTGGAATCCAGATGCCCAATATCAGTCTCACTGGGCTAAAGTCAAGGAGTTAGCAGGGTCTGGTTTCTTCTGGAGTCCTTTTCTAGCTTCTGGAGGCCACCTGCATTTCTTGGCCCCAATCCCTTCTTTAAATCATTCCAACCTCTTGCTTTCATGGTCACATCTCCTTCCTCTTCTGTAGTCAAATATGCCTCTGACTCCCTCTTCTAAGGACACTTGCAATTATATTTAAGACCCACCTGGATAATCCAGAGTAATCCCCACCTCAAGATTCTTAACTTAATCACATCTTCAAAGTCCTTTTTGCCACAGAAGATAATATTGACAGGTTTTTAAGGATTAGGACATGGATGTCTGGGGGGCCATTATTCAGCCTACCACAAGCATAGTCCAGGAAGGTATGGCAACTGGTGTAAACAAATAGTCATACTATCAGGCAAAGAAAGATATATTTTATAAAAGAGAGAAACCACAAACTACACAGAGAATGGAGAAACCGTTTTCAGCTTCTGGGATCTGACTTGGCTTCTGGACAGATAATTATAATAATGATGATAGCAAACATTTATATTGCTCATTATGTGTCAGCCATTGTTCTAAGTACCTTACTTATATAACTCAATTAATCTTCACAAAAAGTCATCCTCATTTTATAGAAGAGGGAAGCTAAGGCACAAAGACTTTAAGTGATTTGCCAAAGATCACTTTGAACTAGCACAGCTAGGATTGAACCCAAGGTATCTGATTCCCAGGTACATACTCTTGACCATTTGAGATGAAACTTAAAGAATGGATTGCAGGCTGACACAGTGAGTAAGCAGAAGGGTCCTATACAGAGAGAACAGAATGAAAAAGGCACAGAAGCAGAAAAATAAGAGACAGATTCAAGCCAGTTGGTAAACTGGGTGGGATGGAATATAGCAAGCCTGGGAGAAGTAGTGGGAGATCAAACTAGAGAGCTAGCCTGAGGATAGGTCATAGAAGACTTTGAAACCATGGACTACCTCTATGACTGGTGGGAATCCCTTAAGACCTTGGGTTCGAGGGGGCTTATCAGAATTGTGCCTTGGGAGGACTGACCTGTGAAGCCGGGCTGGAAGAGTAAATAAGGAGCTGCCCTCTTTCCTCTACTCTGAGGTACTTTGTATAGCACAGAATGTGCCTGTGTGTCTTGCTCACTAGAGAGTGAGCCCTAGAAGGGAGCTGAGTGTATCACCACGCATGTGCCAGTAGATGATATAGAACCACAAAGCACAGTGGAGCCAGAGGGTGGGAGGCAGGCAATATGGATGCTGGGGCTGCTGCAGCTGGAAATAGTAGCACCACTTCGGAGTCAATTTAAAGTGTCTTTACCCATGTTTGCTGAAGTCCTTAAACTTAACAAAAATTTTCTGGAAATTTGGGAGGTGTAGGAATATACATTTTCAAATCTAGGCTCTGTCAATTGCTTCGGTGGGGTCTTGGGTAACTACTCAACACCCCAAGCCCTATTTTTTTTAATTTTAAAATATAGGGGCACCTGAGTGGTTCAGTCGATTAAGTGTCTGTCTAAGGTCATGATCCTAGGGTCCTGGGATTGAGTCCCCCATCCAGCTCCCTGCTCGGTGGGGATCCTGCTTCTCCCTCAGCCTCTGACACTCTCTCTCTCTTTCTCAAATAAATAAATAAAAATCTTTAAAAAATAAATAAAATTATGTACTGGTAATTGTTAACTTACAAGGTAAGGATAGTTGTCTGGCTCAAATGAGGGATCTGCCATAAAATTAATTTTTTATACTCCTATTTAATTTCATCACCGATTTACCTTTACGTCTGTGTTACTACTTTTCCTCATTTTACAGATAAGGAAATTGAACCTCAGAGGAAAGAAGGGATTTATCCAAAGCCATACAGTGGAAGGGCCTGGATTTGAACGGACAAGTGCAAGATTCCAATTACCTGCCAATCTCACCAAGGGAAAATGAAGCTTAAGGGAAAGAGCGGGACAAGTGTGACTACACAGGTGAGCGAGGTGAGCTTCAAGAAAGATGCTCACAGATCTTGGAGAAGCTCCAAAGCACAGATTTGAGAACAGATACTCTTCGCCTGTCTGCAAGAGCTCTCGGGCGCCCGGCGGAGGAGGCCCCCAGCCACCCGCCAGGGAAACGGAAACTTGGTCTCCGCCCAGCAACAGCCTCTGCGTCCTTAGCGACCCGGGCAGGGCGCCCCACGAGTCGCGCCCGGTGATTGGTCTGACTCCTGGGCTCCTATCGCCCGCCCTGCTCCCTGCTGGGCGCCGCGGGTCTCGATCCTGGAGAGAAAACAGACGGAATACCCCGGAGCTGCCTGGGTGGGGAAACACCGCCTCAGCGGTAAGACCAACCCCTCTGTTCTATCCCAGGAAAGGGCTCAGGACTGATGCGCAGCTGCTCAGCAGAAAAAGGGGACCCCACAGTCACAAACTGTGGTCCTTGAAGTTTCCAGACATCTTCAAAGAGGCTGCAGGCCCCGCTGGATAGGACTGCCCTCTCACAGCAGGTCTTTCTTTCGTGCAGACCACACACTAAGTGAAGCTGGGGTCCTGGGAAAAGCGCTGGTCTACCTCAGACCTGAGCACTAGAAACGGGTCTGGTCACACTCGCTCTGTGAGTTTGGTCAAATGATACACCCTCTCTGGGTCTTGGTTTACCAATCTGTAAAGCCAACATTTGGATTAGAATGATCTCTGAAGAGCTTTCAGTCTGTGAGGGTCTCTGAAAGACAGTGATCAGCCTGGGGCCAGGTTTATAGAACTTCTAAGTTGCCCTTGGCGTCAGACCTGTATAAACACCCAGTATTTATCTAATATGGGATCTCAGTTTCAGATTCACCAGATTATTGCAGAAACACACACCAACAACAACAAAAATCTCTCTTTCCTATATACAGCACTCCTTCAGATGCATTATCTTATTGGATTCACCCTAAATCCCAGAAAGTAGAACTGGAATTATCCCGGTTTTGTAAGAAGGGAAATTGAGCGTGAGAGCTGAACATAAGATCTTCATATAACACACTAAAGCCCTGGTTTCCTCTCTGACCTCACAAGAACCCCATCTGGTATCAGGAAGGTAGAGTTTCCAAATGGCTCAGTAGACCTGTTTTGCAGACCTCTTGAGTGGGACTCCCAATTCTGCTCATTACTGATTCTATGCTACTGAGTAAATTACATAACTACATTATGCCTGTTCCCTCAAATGTAGGACAAGAATGATAATAGTAATTGAGAATATCTTACTCATGCCTTTATTAGGAATGTCAAATGAGATAAGATAGGTAAAGCACTTGGTCCTGCTGTTATTTTTGTTAATATTGACAAGGATACTAAACTGACTAATGGGAAATCAAGAGGAAGAAAGATTTACTTATTTTCCAACCCAAGGATTTGAAAGGGCTTTGAGAAGAAGCATGCCTTCTGTTTGGGAGACTCCCGGTGGATCAGAAGCAATGCCTGAGACAGTGATGAAAATCATTGGAAGTAAACACTTTCGGTACCTTGTGGAGAAGCCAAAGATGTAAGTTTACTGTTTGACAAATACCTGTTTTGCTGGGAAGATAATGAAGTCTGGGGCTTTTTTTCTTTAATCTAGAAATTTACATTTTTTAAAATGTTGTCCATGGAAAATTAAGCCATTAAGAAGTAACAGTAGAAGTAAAATAGTGTTGATAACTTCCATGCACCCTGTTTTCCTGATATTTTTCATCTTTTTAATTCCCCTTACTCTTTAATTACTTAGGCAGATTCTCCAAATAGATGAGGAATATAAGCCTTGAGACATTTATAACTATTAATGGGGTATTGCTGCTGCTTTTCATCACGTAATCTACTACATGTAGTAATTTTTGGGGGGGAGGGGAAGAGTATTAGTTAATTTGTGATGAATTAAAGGAGTGGGATTAATAATGAATCATAAATTATAAGATTTTCACTTATTCTTATTTATATTCTATACTCCTCCAAGCAGGGCCTTAGCTAGCTAAAGGGTCTTTCTTCCCTTCAAGCTCATCACAGTCATATTTGAGGAAGGACACTCAGGTATCTCTAAAATTCACCAGGTACTTGGCACAGAAGGGTATGACTAGGTCTCCCTTCTAGCATTTTGGTGGTTCACAAAAGAAAAAGAAGGCACTAGACCCGCCTTTCATGAAGTAGTCATTCCATAAGTAGCAGCAGTCAATAGGTGCCTCTCCCACCCAAGATTATGGCCATAGCTTTTGCCTTTATTTCAGAAACCCACAGACAAAACAAATAGACAAACAGAAAAGACCTGGCCTCACAGAACATAGGTGAAGAAAGTAGTGGATGTCATACCTGGCTGTCATCAGAAACATCTAGAAAATCCTTAAAATAAAGATTTGGTGTCCAACCCAAGACCTACTGAATCAGAATCTCTGAAGATGAGGCCATCGAGACCACTGTTAGGGAGCACAGGCTAATTAGCAGGGCAAATTGGTTTAACTCTCTACCATCAGTATTGTCAGCCCAGAGAAATTGCAAAGTGAGTGCTGTAATCAATTAGTAATGTCTGTCCTGGCACAGGCAGTGAGCTTTGCAGCCCATGAGTCCTGCATCTGGGATCCCTAGAGAGCTGAGAGATGTGAATTTGAATCCTGGCTCTGTGCCTTCTTGGCCTTTCAACATTGAAAAAGTGAATTAATATCCCTGGCCTCAGATTCTACCATCTCTCAAGTAAGGCTAAAAGACATGTATCTAATAGGGTTGTTGTGAGGACCAAATGAGAAAATAGTATGCAAAACCCCTTTCCAGTGCCTAGTAGTATATTCAGCATGCTCAGTCAGTGGTTCTGCTTTATTATTGAAGAATATCTTTCCAGGGATATAAGACATTTAATAAAAAAACATTAGATTAGATACATAAATTGTGAAATAAAAGACACAGTTCTGTTTCTTCTATGATAACTGTAAAAAAAAGTTTAAAAAATATCAAGATAGGTTGCTTTGTTTCTGTTTTCTATGGGTTTGATGTTACTGTTGCTGGAATGACAAAGGACCATTAACATGCTTTGCTAAAATATTTCTGTATGGTTCAAAAATAAATGATTCTCAAAAGGGTTTTGGTTGCTGAGGTAAGGACAGACCCACCACTATCATGCCATGCATGTCCCAAAATCTGTCTCTGAAGCATTTTAGTTGTGTTGCATCTATACCTTCCAGCCTGAGCCTCAAGAGGGCTTTTTCTTTGGGTTGAATCTGTTGATTCCCACTCAATCTGTTGAGTCCATTAGTAAAATATCTATGTAAGAAACATAAGTGAGGCTTTTTCTGCCTGTGGTGTCTCAGATTCATTCTTAAGGAACTGAGAACTTAATCTTCCAAAATGTCAAAAAGACCATCTTATGCCCCACCTCCCACTCCAGCTCCTGCAACACAAATGCCCACCAGGGTTTATGGGATACAATCCATTCAGTCATCTCACCTGCAACAACTAGAGGCTGGGAAGGAACCCGGGCACCAACAGTCAGGTCATGGCATCTTCTGGTATTACAATTCCAAAACCCCCAAAGCCACCAGATGAGCCACTGATGGCCTACATGAGGTATAGCAGAAAGGTCTGGGATCAAGTAAAATCTTCCAAACCTGATCTAAAGTTGTGGGAGATTGGCAAGATTATTGGTGGCATGTGACGAGATCTCACTGATGAAGAAAAACAAGAATATTTAAATGAATATGAAGCAGAAAATATAGAGTACAATTAATCTATGAAGGCCTATCATAATCCCCCCCCCACATACCTTGCTTACATAAACGCAAAAAGTCATGCAGAAGCTGCTTTGAGGAAGAAAGTCAACAGAGAGTCTCACATGGAAAAAGGAGAACCTTACATGAGTGTTCAGCCTGCTAAAATCCAGATGATCCTGATGATGGCTTTGCAGTGACGCACAAGGCCACCACCCAAACCGCCGCCTCATCAGTGAAATCCTTAGTGAGAGAGTGGTGCCAGACATTCAGTCAGTTGTCACAACAGCTAGAATGCAAGTCCTCAAACGACAGGTCCAGTCCTTAATGGCTCATCAGTGAAAACTAGAAGCTGAACTTCTTCAAATAGAGGAGTGACACCAGGAAAAGAAGAGGAAATTCCTGGAAAGCACAGATTCATTGAACAGTGAACTTAAAAGTTTGTGTGGTTTGAAAGTCGGAGTGGACATGGAAAAAACTGTGGCTGAAATTGCACAGGCAGGGGAACAGGCTTAAAAAAGGTAGGAGGAAAGGGAGAAAGAAGCAGCAGAGCAAGCTGAACTTGGTCAAAGCAGCATGGTTCCTGAGCAAGAGCAAGCTGCGAGGAAGACCAAGGAGAAGAAAGATGACAAGAGCATCCCAATGGAGACAGAGGAGACGCGCCTTGAAGAAGTGACAGAAAGCCAACTGAATGGTGAAGAAGGCATGTCTACTCCTGAGGACAAGGAGAGCAGACAGGAGGGGGTGGACAGTATGGCTGAGGAAGGGGCCCGTGAGAGTAACACCGGCTCAGAGAGCCACAGGGCCACAGTGGAGGAGCCACCAACAGACCCCATGCCGGAAGACGAGAAGACAGAATAAATGTCGCCTTGTTCGATGTGTTCTAAATACTTTTTTAAATGGAAAAAAATGTTTTTTGAGTTTAAAAAAAAAATAAGTGAAAGCCAAAAAAAAAATGAAGAAGTCTCTAAAAAGAAAAATCACAAATGAATAATGGATGGAAAACAGAAATCTTCCTGTATAACCACATTTAGTTCAGATTTTCTGCAGGATATGCGGAGAGGTTGGAATAGTATGTCAGACTTGAACGTGATCTTCATGGTATAAATCAGTGTATTAATTTGCTAGGGCTGCTGTGTCAAAGCTCCACAAACTGGGTGGCTTAGATAATACAGAAATATCTCACAGTTTTGGGGGCTAGAAGTCTGAAATCAAGGTGTTGGTAGAGACGTGCCCCCTCTGTAGCTGCCCCAAAAGGAGAGCTTCCAGGTCTCTCTCCCTGCCTCTGGTAGTCTTGTGCCTCATGGCAGCATAACTCTAAAATTCACATGGCAGTCTCCCTGCATATGTGTCTGTGTACAAATTTTCCCTTTCTATAAGAACACCAGTCAATTGGATTAGGGCCCCTTCCTATTCTAGTATGACCTCAATTTAACTAATTACATCTGCTATCACCCTATTTCCAAATAAGGTCATATTCTGAGGTCCAGGGGTTTAGGACTTCAACCTATGAATTTTAGGGTTCAATTCAGCCCATAACAACCAATCTTCTGTTTTACAGATGAGATAACTGAGGCCTTGGTTGGGCTTGAAGTGAGGCCAGTTACTAAGAACTAAGACTGGAGTCGAGCTCCCTCTCTCTATCCTTAATTTAGCCTGTACAGTTATTGACAGATGAAAGGAAAATACTCAATACCCATTTAGTAGTCAAGTTCCTCACAAAAGAGATCAATCTCCAGGCTTCAAAGAGCGAAACAAGTGTCTCTGAATTTTTCCACCAGCATTTACCTCCCAGATCACTCCACCAGACTTCCAACCTGCTCTTTCTCTCTTTCTCTAATCCATTTTATAAAGGCGTGCTCCCCAAAGGGTAATCGATGGACCACCAGCATCAGCTTCACCTGATGAATCGCAGGCCCCTCTCCAGACACAGTGAATCACAATCTGCATTTTTGTCAATTCCCAGGTGACTCTATGCAACATTACAGTTTGAGAAGCCCACTTCTCGGAAGTACGGCCAGCATCATCTTTCTAAAATGCAGATCTAATGAGGTGCCGCCACCTCTAGCCTCAGATTCACCCACTCCCTCCCCCGTGGGCTTCCATAGCACCCTTAAGGGACTGTTATACTCTGTGACGATTTCCTATGCATTTCTGGCTCCTCTATTTAGCCCATGTGCACAACCGCACCCTCAGCACTAAGTACAAAGTCTTATACATATTGAAAACCTAATAAATTAGCTACAGCACAATGGGTACCAAGAAAAATAAAGATCTAGAAAGATAATACTCAGTTGCTTCCAATCCAAGTCTAAAGGCCCATGTTGCTAAAGTAGCATGCAGATATTACCATAGGACCCCTAAGTAGTAATCTTTGATAGCTCATGGAAAGCAAGATAATGCCAACTGACAGGAGACAAATATTCCCATTTTCTAAAAGGAGATAAAAGTGGGTAATAAAACCACAAAATTTGAGGCTTGTGGACAATCCCTGGCAAAATTGCAGGCCAAAGAAATAAATATATTAGTTGTGAAAACAAAAACACAAAAATGATGGTCACTAAGGGTTGGTACATGTTGACTAAAACCAGATTATGCCAACATGGTGGTGATTGAACAACTGATGTCAACATTCTGTGTTAGAGGTGGAGAGGTTGAGAGGATTTGTGTGTGACCCTGTTTTTAGTCAACATTTTTTAATCCATAACTGAAATCACTTCAGTAAACATGTAGGTAGAAGAATGCTGGAAAGCCTTGGCAGAAAAATGAGCTAAAACCAACAAGATGAAATCAATGGAGATATACGCAAAATCTGTCC